TTATTTTTTTTTTTTTTTTTTTGGTTCTGGGGATCGAATTCGGGTCCTTGCGCTTGCTAGGACCTCAGCACCGAACCACTGAGCTAAAATCCCTGGCTCTGCTGTAACTTTTGATAGTGGACTGTTAGTCACACTGAATCCATCAATATCATTTAATATTTTTGTTGCAGTCTTCAATGTTTATGTGATACATATATTTTTTTTCTCTGGGGCTGTTCGAATGTGATTTCCCCAGAATTCAGTGATCAACAAGAAAGATAGCTTAAATAATAATACTTTTATTATTTTCATTGTGAAAGTTAAATTATCTGTTTCTAGGACATAGAAATTCCTCTTTATAAAATAAAACAAAGCCCTTATATTTGAGAAATCTGTATTTCAGAAATAGCTTTTGTGGAAAACATCAGGTTTTCTGTGTATAAGTATATATATTAAATTGTTTTTATTACATAAAATTGATTCATTCTATAGAGCAGTTCAACTCTAGAACTGAATAACAATTGAAAAATTAGACTGAAGTAGAATAAATTCTAAGCTTAACATTACCGTTATTTTCTACACTTCCAAATAAAGAAATGTCTATGTATAGTCAAATCTCAATTTAATGTTGCCTAGATTTTAATATTTGCCTCCTAAAATGTCAACCAAATTTGCAGTGTTCCCTTCCTAAAATATTTTTATATTTACCAACTTTTCTTGGGTTTAGTTCTTTTGGAAAACAGTGTCAATGAGCGCTTTTCTCTTGGCTAAGCAGCTAATCAGTAGAATTGCCAGTTGTGGGTGTGCTGGACCCTTTGCAGAAGTCAGTTTCTCATGTATGCCATGTAAAATGATGATGACATTTCTTTCTGTTTGAAAGAAAGCCTTATGTGCTTATAATTTCCCTTTTGCATTTGGAATATTTGACTCATGCCAAGTATTAATTTTGGTCTGAAACAGACAGAAAATGATTGAGGTAAAATATAGAAGTGTATTCAGCTGCAAATGAACCTACCCAACATTAGAACGAGCACTTCTAAAATAAGTTGAACATTAAAGCTGCCACCAGTGCAACTGGAATGTGGGCAGCTGGTGACATAAGCTGGTATTAGCATTGGCAGCACCTAAAGGGAGCAATCTAGACACAAGAAGGAAGTGGGACCAGGTCTGGAACAATTTCTCTTTTATATCAGACACCAATTGTCTTTTCTTCAGTATCAGGCAGGTATGCATTCCCTTTCCAGCAACTTTTTCCTCTTATACTAATCATGACCAAGTCAAGATAAAAAGAAAAATTTTTTTAAAATCCTCTTTTTCATTTGCCTTTTATTTTGTCTTAAATCCAGTAGAAAGTAAATCATGTCCATAATCTATGCAATTTAGCTTGTGACTTTTCCACACAGCTGTGTAATGGCAACTGCTCTCTGATTATATCCATGGCTCTAGAAATACACATAATAATAGATGCCACCTGCAGGAGCTGAGGACACTGGGAAGCTGTGGAGGCCTCGTGCTGTGCATTAAACAGGCTGCAGAGCTGTTTTGCAGATGTAGCCTCACGTGGCCTGTCTTCAGTTTCAAATTGAAGAGATATTTTTGTCAGCAGTAGGGCTGGAAGTGTGTATTTGGGAAAGGAGACATTTGAGTATCTAAAACTAAGCATGAAGTCACATAATTATCTCATTACTTCTGTTGAGATTGGCAGTGAAAACACAGGGGAAAGATGGAGGTGAGGTGCTAGTAGCTAGCTGGCAGTGGTTGCAGAGAAAGTAAATAGAAGAAATATTTCTAGTACTTTAAATATTGTTTAAAGTGATATTTATATTTCGTAAAGTCAGATATTAGCAAAAGAACTTTTGAGTTGCTTATTAATCTTCACTGCACATTTATAATTTACTTTTATCTTTCCATACTTTAAAACTCAGGTCCATGGAATTGTACGGCGATCTAGTTCATTTAATACAGGGCGAATTGAACATCTGTATAAGAATCCCCAAGCTCATACTGAAGGAAGTAAGTTATTTCATTTTTCTACAATCTCTTTCTATAACTTCCTATGTTCAGATAGGATGTTTTCAACTGTCATGTTTTCTCAGTGTCCATCAAGTCACAGTTATTTACTCATGAATTACTGCCTTGACTTTATGAAAATCTTTGTTGTTGCTTGCTGCTCTGGGCTAGAGTGTCATCTTGGTTTGTCTGTTGGAAGGATATTGTATAGCTCGCCTGGAGAAACCAAGAGAATATATATGCGTTTGATCATTCTTTTCCAGATGCTCCTGTTCTCTCTCTCTCTCTCTCTCTCTTTTTGTCCCTGTTCTCTTAAGTAAGAGCAATTCAAGTTTGAAGGAGAATGCCTTTCCTATTTCCTTTTTGTCTGATTTACTCAAGTTAAATGGAGTTTGCATATTTAATTAATTTAAAAAATTATTTGTGAAGACAGATCCAAAACTCATTATCAAAACTATATGTGAATTGTTTTACAGTTCTTATCAGAATTTTCAGTTATTTTGTTTTTTGCTGCTAAATTTTCCTGTATCTATGTAGTTCCCATGGCACACTCACAGTATTTTCTCCACTGATTCCATAGCAACTGCTGAGTGTGTTAGGGAACCACATACAGAAGGGGGACACGGGTTGTGGCTTTACCAGTCACATACCACAAAGAAGGCAAAGTTTGGGCTAGGACACAGGATTTTTACCTCCAGGGTCAGCCTGCATTACTTGGCCTTTTCTTCTGGCCAGTAAGGACAATATTGTCAGCTTGTAAATGATAGGCGATTTTGTATTTACCTCCAGGGTACTGAATAGTTCCAGTTCTGTAGTTTAGGTAGTGATATCAGGAAGGTGATTTAGTTGTCCAACAGGAAAAGCTCTGTACCTTAGAGTCTGTGTTTGCAAGTGCATCTTTCTTTAAGATATTACAGATTATATATCACTCATCCAAAATACTTGGGACCAGAAATTCTTTGGATTTTGGACTTTGCAGATTTTGGAATATTTACATATGCATAATGAGATGACTTGGCGATAGGACCCAAGTTTAAATAGGAAATTCACTGGTATTTTATATATACTTTATATATGTAACCTAATGATTATTTTTTCAATATTTTAAATAATGGGATATGAAACAGTTTCATTGTGTGAAATTTTCCATTTAAGATATTCTGTCATCAGCACTTTTTAAAAGTTTCAGGTTTTGGAGCATTTCAAATATTGAAGTTGCAGATTAGAGATGTTCACTCTGTATTATTATTGTGCAAATTGAAGAATGCCACTGGAATTAAATCTAGATATAAATTAATATTTAATGAAAATAATGAAATGATCAAGTAAGCAAATCATCTGTACATTTCAAATTCTTATACTAATGACGTCTGTAAGGAGCAGCTTGGAAATAGGTGATGGACTAGTTCTCTTTTAATCAATAATGTTACTGCATTAGGTACATCACAGGCAGTTTAAAGATTGATCTTCATGATATACTTATAAATCACTGGAGAAAAATATCTGAATAAAAGTATCAATTATAGAGCTGTCTTCACTATCATTTAGTGTGTGTTAAGATTTCTTTAGAGGGTAAGCACATTATTCTAAGCTTTTATTTGTCTGACTCTTACTCTTATATAACACATCTTAAAACAACATGAGGTATATTAAGTGTAAAACATCTGTTTTATTATGATTTGTAAATAAGTCTATCTGTATTTACCACTAAAAATTCTTTATATATATAGGTGACATATATAAATATCTTTCTCCTCTGTGAATTCTTTAAAGTTATACTTTAAGTTATACTTTGGCTGCTCTGCTATCAAATACAACATCTTCATTTAGACCTGGTTTGCAGACTTTTGTAATAAGCATTTCAATTTTGATATTGTAAAAGATTGGATTCTGTTGTTTTCGCCTATCAAATGGCTCATTTGTGAATCCTACAGACATGAAGTTGCACTATGGTGATCTCACTGACAGTACCTGCCTTGTGAAGATAATCAATGAAGTGAAGCCCACAGAGATCTACAACCTGGGAGCCCAGAGCCACGTCAAAGTAAGCTGCCCCCTTGTCAGATCTCCCTGGCTGTGTTCCTGCTGTGCTCTCTGTTTTACTTGTGTTTGCTGCTTCTTAATTCAGTAACACAACCACTGTTCTATTAGCTTGGATATTCATTCTAATAGAAAATCAATATTTTTAAGGTGTGATCTGTTATTGAATAGAATAATAAAATATCTTCTTAACACTGACATAGCACTTTTCATTTATTTTGGGTTGTTCACTGTAGGCATGAGTCACAGTTGAATGTGTTTTATGCCATTTCAAATCCCATTGTGAATGAAATGTTTTGTTAAAATGTTGGAAGATACAAGTTATAGACTTTATTTTAATATTAATATTTGGTAGTGGCTATATGACTGGCCAAGAGAATCATAATAATATGTTAAAATTAGCTGTACTAACTTCTTGTGAGTGACAAAACTCCTAGTTTCCTCCTCCTTGGTGTGATGTACCACTTGTGCTCGGTCTCAGGTGCTCTGCCTGCCTTCTTGCAGTTGCTCTTTCTGGGATGAATTTCAATAAACCTGAGGAGCTCATCCCAGGCTTTTAAGGATCTGCCTGACTTAGACTTCTGTGCCTGTGTCCTGCTGATCCCCTGGGGGAGTGGAAGCCAGGGGTGATACGAGTTCTCTGTACTAATTCAGTCCTGTTGCCTAGTGGAGCTTAGAAATGATAGCACATAACAAAATTTAAAAAAAAAAAAGGCCCAAAACTCTATTCACATATTTTGCTGTTTAATGAACAAAGCAGGATTTTTTAGGAAAGCATTTACAGTGATTGAATGTATCTTTGTACCCCCTTATTTGCATGGAATGGAGCCAAGATGAGTGTTTTCTTTGTCTGTTAGTTTAATGAAGAAATTGTGAACTAAATCAAATGAAACATTGCTGTAAGCCCAGTCTTGTAATTGATAACACATTTTAACATTTAGCATCAATCTGCTCAATACATTTCCCTTTAATGTAGGAACTATATATCAATCAGAAAGACACTTTTTACCTGCCTTTGCTCTAGGAAAGAAATCCACCCATCCTTTTTCTGGCGTGGAGTCTTGCTAATCATGTGCTCTACCACAGAATTATATCTTTAGACCTTTATCCTGTCTTAGTCTATGATGATTTGTATTACTACCATGCTTAAAGTTTGGTCAGTAAAAAGGTATCAGGATCTCTAGGTTCTAGTGGTTCTTATTTCCTGATTTTCAGTGTGTTTTTCCATTTTGAAAAGGTGTGTTATGCATATTGTACTTGAGAAATTAAGTCTCTTTGCAAAAGAAAAGCAGTCACCCTCTATCATCCCAGGAATGAAGACTTTATTTTTCCCTAATTGAGGCGTCTGTCTTCCACATTGTTATTTCTCTGGTTGCTTCTTGACCTTTATGACCAGCTGAGAGAATATCTTCCAGATAAAACAGAGTGTTTTGGAACCAGCACTCTGTTACTTAATTTCCCTAAGATTAAGAAGTTTCCTTTGTGATCAAGATAGTTTATCACCACTAAAAGCTATAAGCCAGAGTAGCGGGAAGATTGAGGAAATTTTATAAAAATGTATTTATGGAAAGCCTCCCCATTTGGTTGTGGTGGTTCACTCACTCCTGTAATCTCAGAAATCTGGGAAGCTGAAGGAGAAGGATCGCAAGTTTGAGTCCAGTCCAGGCAATTTAGCAATTTAGTAAGACTCTGTCTCAGAAAAGAAGAGGACTGGGGATGTAGCTCAGTGTGAAAACCTTGGGTTCCTTCCCCAGAACAGGGATGCGGAAGACAGTAAGCCAGCCAGCCTTTCCTTTGTCATTCTAGGATCAAATGAGTTGATCTTTTTCTTTCTCCAGAACACATTTGTAGCTCAAAAAATATATTGTATTTTCCTTAGTTGCAGTGAGCATAATAGTGTTTGGTTATCATTGGAGAGATTATGCTGTCAGTAACAGAAAGCATAGGAGATTGAGTTGATTCCTTCTGAATTGCTATGTTTGTGGCTTTATCGTTTTTTGTTTTGTTTTGTTTTGGCTGCTTTTCCTGACATTCATTTAATTGGCAAGAATGGTGCTCAATTAAGAATTTTGGTTTTTAAGGCTATTTAATCCTCAGACAAGTATTTGTAGAGTGCATAATTGATACAGGTATCGAAGAAGAAGATGTATAAAATCTACTCATGCTGGGGAGGGTTCCAAGTGTAGAAGGGTCACTTGGGGCATGTGCCAGAGGCTTACATAAAGTCTTCAAATGTGTAGAGGAGGGTGAAAGAGGACTTCCATCTGAGGGGATTAAGGAGGAGTTGGCTTGGCTCTGGTCTTTAAGTATAAGTGTGGGCTTTTACAGAGAAGCATGAAATGGAGACTTGAAAATGGAAATAATAATGCAAAGCCAAGAGTTAGAAATGAGAAAATGCGGAGCATGTTTGCAGCATGATAAGCACTGGAATGATGAACTGAGCAGAAACAATATTGAGAAGAAATGTGAGGTCTGGCAAGATAGGACCCTGGGCCACGTCTGTGCAGCCTGGGGGCAGTGATATATTTGGACAGGGGTCTTAAAGGTCAGAGTGTTCTAGACTTCTAGTGGTGCTGGTGAAGACAATAGGAAGCTGTCTCATGACAATGATGGCATTAGAAACGGAGCTAAGAGGAAGGAACGGGATGCCCTGTGGGGTGACTCCTCTGCCACTCAGTGTGGTCCTCAGTGAGGAAAGAAAGCCCCAGCGCTCAGGGGACCAGGCAGTGCTCAGGGAACCAATACAGATGTTTTACTTGAAGAATATTTAGGTGATATGGGTCATGAGATAGATTAAAATATGTTGTGAGTTTTGCATGAGAGTTGAGGTTTAAAGATGATTCTTGCCCCTGAGATTCCTTGAGTTGCCAGATAGTGGCTGAAGAAAGAACAAACAGCTGAAGACTGAACCTTGGGAACATGCTTACGGTTAGAAGATAGGAAGGGGAATAGTAGGTTTGGTTGAAGGAAGGAGATGAGAGACAACTGAGAAGTTAAGAGGATGAGTCTAGTGGAGAAAGGAAAAGGTATCTGGCTTTGACAGTGAGGCCAAAGTTGACTTGTTATTTTTAAACAGGGCATTTTAGTGATGGGGTAGAAAGGAGTTAGCCAGAGCACAGGTTGTTTAAAAGTTGAGGGTAGAAAGAGGAACACAAATCCAGTGGATTCTTTTCTAGAAATTTCCTGGTGGGATGACAGAATCTGACAGACAAAGCGCTCATTAGTATTCTCCACAGTGTCCAGGCCCTCCCCAGTCTCTGATCCCTTAGGCCCACGGTGAGACCTGCATTAGTTAGGTCTGAGAACTTGCATTTCTAGGACATGTCCACATGGCATGACCCTGGTCATGGGACCACACTTTGAGGACACACTTGCTCTAGTATCTCATGTTTCTTGATTTATCTATATAGAGTATGTACCTTAAATACATTCTTTTTAGGCATTCTTCCTTTAATGTATCAACTATTGAGTTTGTTGTAAAATAGTCCTCTTATTCACCAATTAATGACTGCATGAGCTTTTAAAGCCAGAAATTCTATCTGGAGTTGGGAATGGTAAGAACAGATAGTGTCTAAAGAGAATCTGATATGCCTTTGTACCAAAGTTCCTCATACTCAGAAATTTTTGTTTTTCAAGCAGCGTGTAGTCCGTCTGTGAGACTAAATACTTCTCAGGTACTTATACTTTTTTAGAGAAATAGTATGAGTACAAGCCGTGGTTGGAATGTCATTGAAATCCCATGTTTTATACCTCTGTTTATTTTGTGATCTAAAGACAGGCTGATTCAGGAAAAAAAAAAAAAATGTATATTATTAATCCCATGTTTTATCCCTCTGTTTATTTTGTGATCTAAAGACAGGCTGATTCAGGAAAAAAAAAAAAAAAAGACTAGCTGATTCATGGGCATGGGGAAGAGGTGGGATGAAAGCTGGGAGGTGCTGACTCTGCTCAGCATCTGGGGTGCTGCTCCATCCCCTGAGCAGTCCAGACTATGCATTTGGGCTTCTAGTTGTCTGCCTGTTTTAGTAGCTTGATAGGCGATCAGGCTGGAAAATATGTATTTTATTCCTTACAATTAATTTCTCTGTATTTATTATAGTTTATTTCTATGTAAGCATTGTCATATTTATTGTATTCATAGACAACATTTTAAAATGAAAATGTTCTTTCTGACAATGGAATGCTTGCAACAAGATTAATTAAAATAAATGTCTTATTGTTTGGTGTTCTGAAGGAAGTTTCTAATATTAGCTCATTTCATACATAATTTTGAATTCATGACTTCTAGACTGGGCATTGTTTGTGTTGGCTTCTCTTTGTGAGGAGTAAAGTCTTCTATCACTCTCACTTCCAGTTAATTTGATGTGGGCTATGGTATGCTAAAAGTAAGGAAAATAAAATAATAGGAAGTTGGTCTGGTTTCCTGTAGGAAACCAATGAAGATGAAATTGGGTCTTGAAATAAACCCACAGTAGTCTGGGAAATACTGACTGAAGACATTTTTCTGAATCATAAACAGAAAAATTATGACTCATGAAGTAGGTCATTGAAAGGCTGATTTGATCTGTGGGAGAAAGTGAGAGATGACTGAGATGTTCTAGTTATTAAAGCAGTTAAACCTAGTATGGTGACATCATCCAAGTAGGAACAAATTATCCAGTGGAGTCCTGACCATTTTGGTGGAGAAGATCTTTTAGTAACCTATTTTTTTTTTAGGTTACTGTTTTTTTTCCCCAATGTAAATAATAGTGTTCCTTATCTGTTTAACATTTGTCACTGTCATGTTTATGGATTTGCCCACAGTTCCTAGCAGCTTCTTTGGTGATCTTATATTATTCTTGAAGTCATGGTGTGTGATGAGATCTTTCCACAGTGAATCTCCTACAGTGTAACCTGCATTCAACTCAAAATATTGTAATGGAATTGCTTTGATTTTTTTTCAAAGAAAACTAAAAGTATGGAATAGTGGAATATTAGAGCTGGGAAGAAGTACTTTCATATGAT